TACTACTACTACTACTACTACTACTAGTATTATTACTATTGTTGTTGTTGTTATTGTTGTTTTATAATTGTTTTTTATAATTTGTACAATTAACCTCCTTGTGGTTCGACCCCGGTCTTGCCGGGTTATTTATTACTTCGACACTCCTGCACTTGGGAGAAGACATCAATCTTTTCGTCATGTCACTTATGAATCAGGGGGTTACGACTCTATATAGTTAATTGTCAACAGGTTAACAAAATCAACCCATTTCCTGCCTGTCAAGATTACTTATGGTATGCATAATTAATAGAGTTATTCATTAATGAGATTATACAATTACATGGATTCCTGATCTTGATAGTTTTGGATAGAGGTTCATGTTGTGGTTTTAGGTGAAATTTCAAGAAGCTATAGGTACTAAAGTGTAGTTGAGTATAACTTTTTACTCTCAGAAAAATGGTGAGAATGAAAGGACTATTTAAATCTTGGATAATATGCTTAGAGCATGCATTATGGATTTTAGCGTCTGTTGGAGTAAATTCCTACTATTAGTGGGATTTGCTTACAACAACAATTATCAAGCTAACATTGAAATGGAGCCTTATATGGCTTTGTATGATCAAAAGTATAGATCACTAGCCTGTTGATTTAGCCTGTTGATTTGAGGTTAATGGAAAAAAGGCTAATAGGACTAAAGTTAGTTTAAATTATTTCAAAGAAGATAAAGGTGATAAAAAAGAAGTTGCAAATAGTTTAGCGTAGGCAAGAAAGTTACATAGATAGAATGAGTTGTGACTTATAGTTTTCAATGGGTGATTGTATGTTATTTAAAGTATCATCAACTAAATAATTATTCAAGTTTGGGAAGAAAGACAAGTGAAATCCTCGATTAATTAAATTATATGAGATTTTAGATGGAGTTGGAGCAGTTGCTTATAAATTGGCAATACCACCAAACTTACCAACTATCATGTTTCTAAGTTATGAAAGTATATGTCAGATCCGTTTTATATATTAGAAGTTCAGCTAGTTGAATTGAGAGATGATATGAATTACGAGGTACAACCAAAAGCTATAGTGGATTGAGAAGTGAGGAAGCTTTGCTCAAAGGATATAGCTATAGCGAAGGTGAAATTGAAAGGCCATTCATGTAAGGAAAATATATAAGAGCTTGATGATAAAATGCACAAAGAGTATCCTCATCTTTTCAATAGTTTTGGTAAGTGTTAAATTATTTCTATCAAAATAAAAAAATAAAGAATAAAAAGGAAAAGGCAACAATGCCTTTAGAGGCATATAAAAAAAAGAGTAAATAAATAAGGGATATTGTTGTGATTAAATATAAAAGGAAGAGAGAGAGAGGGAGAGAGAGAGAGTTGATTCTAGAGAGAGAATTAGGAGGAAAGAAACAAAGAGAAAAGAAAAGGAAAGGGAAGAGAAGTTGAGAGCCTATGTTATTAAGGTAAAATTTACGCTTTAATGTGTATAATTGTGGTAATTAGTTTGATTTTGTTTTGTTAAGGTTTTAGGTTTGAATTTGTATTTTTAGGGATTAATTAATGAATTGATTATTTATGATGAATTAATTGATTAGTGTGATGAATTAATTTGTTTTAGGTTGATTATGTTAGGTTGTTGAGATTTTGGGTTAAAGTTTGGATCTATTGTTTTTGGGGAAAAGTAGTTTGGAATTCTCAGCCAACTTATCGACCAGTTGGATACTAGATTTTAGTTGACTGGTTATTGTGTTAGATTCAGTCAATTGGTTGGGTTGAATTGGTAGATCAGTTGACTTGATTGTGAGGGAAAAATAATTCTTTGTTGTTCAATTAGTTTAGATTATGTTTGAGATTGACCGAGTGGATCAATTTTGGTTCATAATAATGTTTTGAAAAATGCATAGGATTATTGATTAGATCCTAAGTTAAGTGTATTAGATATTTTGTATGTTATTTTTAATTTGTTTTTTAATACGTCTCATTTTATATTCAAATACTCTTGATACTTTACTTGATAGACATTAATAAGATTTCTATGGATATAAACTTTTGATGTCTTTCTAATTATGAGTCAAATGAATGAATACTTTTTTGTATGAAAAAAAAATAGTATAAATACTTAGAACTATTAATATGACATTAATCATGTTTATTGGTAATTTTTATATTGGTATCTATCTCTTGTTTATGATTAAGCATGATTACTTATTGAAATTGAATATTTGATATGAGCCATCATGCATTTCTGAATTGATAACTTTTATTTGATTGATTTTACGAGTTGAGCCTTTAGATATAATTATGCATGATTGATTATGACATGACTCTTTGTTATGTTAGTTAGAATACCTATGCTAACATGGTAGTGTTAATCTTTGTACACATCGTATTTGAATCTTAGTTAGTCGAAAGAGTTATCAACCTATAGCAATTGATCATCCTACAGTATGGAGTGTCATGTTCATTGTATTTTGATATTCTGATGAGCCTTATCTTATAATATTCTTATTATGATCTATTTGTGAAACTTTCTTACATAAGTCTAAAGCTAAATTCATATATTTTTCTCTTTGTTTTATTACCTTGTATGTGTATAATGAACGTCATCTACTTACTGAGTTGTTAAATTTATCCTTTTGTTATTTATTATTTTCAGGCTTATAGCTTTGTTAGATTTCAAAACTTGCTCTTTTGGTTGTAAATTGTATTTTTCTTTTATGTCTAGTTAGTATTCTATAATTATAGAAATTTGTATTAACTTTTGTATTAAGATAATCAATTTATATTATGGAATTAGTTATGTTTTCATGTTCTATAGAACTCTATTTTGTTTATATAAGAAGAAAAGTTTGTGTATAAGTTTGGGTTTATATAAGTATGAAATTTTAAAGAAAAACATTGTCTATGTGCCAGTCATGGATCTAAAAATCAAGTTGTGACATGTCATATTGGTGATTGATAGAGTGTAGTTTTTTTAGATGGACTTCTATTCAAATAAGTATATACTAAATTATTTAATAGGGAATTCTAGAGAGAGCATAACTTTAAATTTCCAATGACTAACTTGTAGACCAATGAAGAGAATTTTAGATATATATGGTAATCTAATAAAATCTGAATTGGTTTTTAACAATCCATACATGATTATGAGAAATACAATTTTTTAAGTTCAAATTAAAATGCATGATAATATAGACTACATTGACTATTTTTTTTTATAACATTTAGGGTATGTTTGAGAATGTGAGCAATTTTGGTTTTAAATGTTTTTTGTTTAGAAATATATTAAAATAATATTTGTTTTTAAAATTATTTTTTTATATAAACATATTAAAACGATTTAAAAACATAAAAAATTATTTTTTAACAATTAACTTTTTTAAATTTTGATATAATACGGTTTAAACTATATTTTCAAACAAATGCTCAATCAAATTAGGATGGGATTTTTGAGTGTCGATGCTTCATCCGGAGAATTCATAACCATAATTGGCATTATGCATTTGATTTAGTTTGATTGAATTGGATGATATCAAATATATGATGGATTTGACTAAAATTACCATCGATATCCGAACTGCCTTGTAAAGTTTATAGCAATTCGTTTCACTTGCACAGAACTCTCTCAGGAACAATACCATTTATACCAAATTCCATGCAAATGTTGCGTGGTTTTAACCTAATAACATCTTGACTAACCCAGCATATATTATTATAGTAAATCTTTTTTTTTTTTTATGGATCCCAATTCATGAAAATAATAACATATCTATATTTAATCTAATAAAAAATATTTTACATAACCCATAAATAATTGATTTGATTCATGTTGAGTATCCAAGTAATTGATAGGATGATACCATCCATTAAAATCTTCTTAACACATTGCTATTTGCATTTGGAGATGATAAGGATATCGAATTGGGTTCAGGCCTAGTTCCGGTCCAGGACTCTGTTTTATGTTAAAATGCTTCGTTTTTGGATCTATTTAAATTTTGTTCCGAAAATGAAAAATATATACTCCTTGAACCCAACCCATTAATTTATTAAAAAGAATTGAGGATAAGTTAAACTTAGCTCATAGCTTCATAGTTTTGTATACCGTTTTCTTTTGGTTGGATTATGATATTGATTTTCATTTCAGTTTATGCATCGAATTAAATATTTTTCTCAAATGATTTCAGGAATACATTTTTATAATAATTTAATATCTATTTAGAAAGATAATTTCATGTGAACACGAAACTTAAGATTTACTTTGAAAATTAATAAAGATTATACTTTCTCAATCATCATCACGTCACCTATGCATTTGATTTATATTTTTTTATAACATCAAAGTCATTATCATTAATATTAATGAATCGTCCATAAAATAAAACTTGGTAAAAAGTTTATAAGATAATAGGGAAGGAGTTAAAAAATTTAGTTTTTTTACCAAGTTTATAAGATAATAGGAAAGGAGTTAAAAAATTTAGTTTTAAAAATACGGATAGAATTTTATTGGTTATATAGCAAATTTTATGGGAAAAATATTGATAAAATGAAGTAGATAATTTTTTTTTTTTGCGGTTTGTTTATTTATAATTCTATTAATAAATTTTTTATTGATGAATTTATTGATAAATTTAAAATTATTTTTTTGATAAAATAGAGTGGATAATTTTTTTTTTTTGCGGTTTGTTTATTTGTAAATCTATTAATAAATTTTTTATTGATGAATTCATTGATAAATTTAAAATTACTAATAATTTTTTTTTAATAGATTGTTTCTGTTTGAGTCTAATGATATAATATTTATGAGAATACATATTAATAAGCATTGTTTTCAGTAAAATCGTGAAATTTAAAGCACTACCGCTGAAATTATTTTTTTCCTTCTAGGCCCCAAGCCCCTAATTCTGTCCTCGAAGATAATAGACATACCTAACTAAAGCTAATTAAGTACACACATAACCTTTCTGTAATTTCTAGCAAAAGAAATCTAGAAATTAAGGCTGATAATTAAAAAGAAAAGAGTTAATTATTTGGGAATCTTCATATTCTTGTATATTGCCGTGAGGAAAACATCATTGCCCCTTAACCCACATTATTATTCGATAAGAAATGCAAAATTGTGATATTACCGAAGATTTATTTTGTTATTAATAATCCTGGCAAGAAGATTAATCATTTAAAACATCGCCAATACGCAGCTTCATAGTGTGTGTGAGTTTCAATTTGGAAGATAAAAGACACTTATGTTCAGACGACACGGAGACACCAAAGTTTTACATGGTAGCTGTAATAAACAAGCATATCCGTATTTTCGATGTAGCGATGGTTGCAAGGAAACTAGACATTTATAACTATGTAAGTTGTCTCTGCAACAGAAAAAATTTCAGTTGCATTGATCTCGCAAGTGAAAATGATCATGGAGTAGTTTTTTTAGCTCATGGGCTTGGCTAGCTTTTGAGGCATAAGTAATAATAAGGTCAGAAGTTGACATGATTAGGAGAGGATTTCTTTCTTCAACTGAGCTTGCCTTCCTGCACACAACAATCTTCTTGTTTCATGTCTTGTTATCAGATGGTTTCCCTTCACCAAATGGCACATCAGGTTTTCCTTGATCTCCTCCATCCTTTTCTTTTTCTTTTTTAATATTTATATGCTTTGAATAATTAAATAACAAAAAAATGGAAGAAGTTTCTATGTGTATGTGCTCTTGGCTCTAACAACAAAATTTAATTGCAGGTAACTGTGTTTTGGACTTCAAGAAATTCCCTTACGAACCAACCGGTGAGTGCATAGGCCACCAGGAGAAAATCAAGGACTGGAACAGCTTCAGCACAACATTATGCTGTCGTAATCTGCTCAACGATCTGACCAAACTCTTAGCCTCGCGTGCAATATCGAACACAAATGTTGACATCTTGCTTCCAAAAGATCAATGGATGGAATGTATCCATGGCTTTCCTGGACAAAACTCTGTATCACCGGCTTCTTGTGGCTTTGATGACCTCTACAGTGAGAGCAGTGCTTGCTCGAGATTTTCTTTGTCATCGATAACGGAACAGTGGTATTACAAAAATGCATTAGCCTCGTGTACGAATTTTAGTTCTTCATACGATTATGGGTGTAGCAGCTGCATAGAGGCAATATCCGATTTGAGGGATTATCAGTTAAAAATATCGAATGTCAGCGCTAATGACAAGAAGGCAAAAATAGTATGTGGGGTGGCAGTTCTTATTTCTGTTGTGGCTGAAAATTTGAATAATAGCGCTTGGATTGATGATTTCTACAGGTGTTTGCCAGCGTCAGATGCATTCAGTAAGGGCCATTACTACTTCTTTTATATCTTATTTCTCGATTTACTTCCCATTCCACTTCCTGATGCTTAGAGTATTGTTTATGAACAGATGAAGGCTACATGCAAATCAAGTGTAAGTACAACTATTCTGTTTTCTCATTGAATCATTTCTTGGAATTTTATTTGGTCGCGTGGATCATCGTGTGAAGGATAAAAACTCATAAAGATCTTTAGCTTATCAGATTCTCTGGTGAAAGTGATATTTGCTATTTTTATAGCAATCATCACATTGTTGCTGGTCTTTCTTCTGATAAAATACGTGAGCAAGGGCAAGAAGAAGCGTCCTAAGCCTGTAACTCAATCTAAAGAGATCACCAATTGGTCTGGCTTATATAGATTCTCCAAGGCTGAGATTGAGAATGCCATTAAACACAGCAAGGTGAGGAAGAGCCTAGGGAGAGGAAGCGCTGGGGAAGTTTACAAAGGTGTTCTACCAAGTGGCCAAGCAGTAGCCATCAAGCACATTCATAAGAGCAACTCATGTGATTCTTTCCAGAGGGAAGTTGAAGGGCTTTCCAGGGTTAGGCATCCAAATCTTGTTTGTCTCTTTGGTTGCTGCATCGAAGGAGACGACCAATATCTTGTATATGAATATTGTGCAGCTGGGAATTTGTCTCAACATCTCCTAAGTAACTTCCTGTCAATCTCTAAATAACGTTTCAGTGTTTTTTGTTTAACATCTTGAGTTAATGGGTGCTTCCAGATGATGCCTGCTTTGTGCTGTCCCTAGGGTGTTTCTGATCATATGCGTCAATCTATTTTATCCAGGTAAAGATACTGTACTGACATGGGAAAGAAGAGTTAAGATCCTAAGAGACTGTGCTCTTGGATTGAGATACCTTCACCATTTTATAGATGGCTGCATTGTCCACAGAGACATCAAGGTAGTTTCTTCTCTTGCAGTTTCCTCATTGTGTGGTTCTAAATGTGCGCAACTGTACTGAATCTATGCATGTTTCACAGCTCACCAACATCCTTCTGACTGAGAATTTGGAGCCAAAACTCTCAGATTTTGGATTGGCAAAGATGCTCGGCATGGAAGAAAGCAAAGTTTTCACGGATGTTAGAGGAACAATGGGCTATATGGACCCAGAATATATGAGCAATGCCAAACTAACATGTGCCAGTGACATCTATAGCTTTGGTATTGTTACTCTTCAACTATTGTCTGGGCAAAAAGTAATCGAGTTGGATCTTGATTCCAGAGATCAGCTCACCAGAAAGGTATAACATTCTTATGTGCCTGAAAGTCATTAGATGCCATGCAAGAAATTAATCTCTAGAGTTCAGAGGGTAACCCTGAAAGTCATTAGATGCCATGCAAGAAATCTCTAGAGTTCAGAGGGTAACAACCCCTTCAATTTTTGCAGGCCAAGGATGCCAGTGCAGGAAAACGTCCGTTAACAGATTTTGAAGATCCAAGGCTCAACGGAAAGGTCAACAGCGTTGATTTTGAAGCCATTTTGCAAACTGCTGTCCTCTGTGTTTCAAAATCAAGCAAAGGTCGCCCGACTATTGATGATGTCTTTGAAGTGATAGAGAAGGCTTGGAAAAACACACTAGCAGAGATGGTCAGGCAATCAGTCCTTTGAAGCATTTTGCATAGACATGATCTTTTTCACATCATACTAACATCGATAACTGATATATATGTATGTATTGATTGAGTGCAGAAAGCAAATCGAGAGATGGTCTCATCATTGTCAAGATCTTTGGAAGCGATACCCGTGTAAAGAAATCAGGCGAAGGATGAAGCTCAACGAGGGTGGCGCCCTTGTTTTGTTTGTAAACTATGAACTAGTAAAACGAGGGTGTTGATCATAAATAAAGACGAGATATGAGTAAATATACTATTTATAGTTTTTTATTTATATGGTAAAAGGATTTTAGTGAGAATGGAGGGATAGAAAGGCCGTCTGCAAGATTCAATCAAGCCCAAGACCATATGGTTTAAAGCCTAGCGCTTTCATTGACTTGAAAGCGAGGATATATATACATGGACGAATGCACATATGAATGTTTCCTCATTGGCTTGGGCCCGAGGATATGATGGCGATCACAAGGAAAGAGTTCTAGGCTTCTAGCCCTTGATACAATCGAAGAGAGTTCAATTTGTTGATTGAGAACCCCTTGCTGTAACGAAATCTTGACATTTGAATGGGAAATGCTTCTTCTTCTTTTTCTTTTTTTTTTCCGCGTGGAAGGCCTTCTTTGTAATTAAATATGTATTATATTTATGGAGTTGCTAGCTAAGGAGTTGCTTTTCACTTTCTTGATAATTATATTTTAGTCCACATATCTCATTTTTCTTTTATTTCAATCCTTAAATATTAAAAGCGGAGATAGTAGACTAAAAAAAAGAAAGAAAGATAAAAATTTCAAGTGGTCGTATTTTGACCATACTCTGACCCGTCAACCGTTACGCAATTGAGTTAAGCTTGAAGATGGAAAGTTTGCTAAAAATGGTTTGGACTTGGATAATTATGTTAAAAGTAGAGTGAATATTTTGATACCTAATAAGTTTTTCTTTTAAAACTTAATTTTAAATTGTTTGCTAAAGATGGTTTGGACTTCAATAATTATGTAAAAAGTAGAGTGAATATTTTGATACCTCATAAGTGTTTCTTTTAAAAATTAATTTTAAATTGTTTTGAAGATCACAAATAGATTTTTAGAGGTTTTTAGAATGGACTTTAAAGGTGTAGAAACAAAAAATTTATACAAATCAAATTTCAAGATAATTTTGATTTAATTTATTTATCTATACTTTCAAGTGTTAACATTTAAGGAATTGTTTTATGCAAGATTTTGTAATGTATCATTGACATCATTCCCTTCCAAAGTACTTTGGATTAAATTATTTGTGGTGTTTAAAAATGTAGTAATAATTGCTTTTTAAAGTGTTTTTTACTTATAAATATATTAAAATAATTTTTTATTTTTTAAAAATTATTTTTAATATTAGCACGTCAAAATGATATAAAAATAGAAAAAATATTAATTTTAAAAAATAAAAATATTAATTTTTAAAAAAATATTTTTAAAATATAAAAATAAATATATAGATTGAAAAAACTAAGATGGGACATAAATGCATACAAAGTAAATGCATCCATTAATGCATGAACTCATATGACCAACTAACTTAGAATAGCAGCAACAATTCATTAACATACCTTATTTTTCAGTCTTTTTTTCAATATTTCCACGGTCAAAAGCAACCATGCTAAACTAGCAAATAAAAGTTTGTTTCTTTACACAGATGAAAAAGGATATGACTAAAAAAATTAATATCTTCTTTCAAGTGTAGGAGTGTCAAAGTAATAAATAACCCGGCAAGATCGGGGTCAAATCACAGAGAGGTTAACTATATAAATTACAAGTAAAAAAATAAATAATAACATAAAAGAAGTTGAAGAGAGTTTTAAGATGTAATATTGATGTAAACAAGGATAAAATAATTGTCAAGGTTATAGGATCTACTAATGGTATTTCAAACAAATATAGTATAAACTCCTTTTATTACTCAACTAGAAACTACACATAAAGAAGATTTCAATCGGATTATAAATTGTTAATATGATTACATTAGTTATCTTATTCAAATAATGCTAATTCTTATAAATATTGTCAGGTATTCTTTATTATAACTTATGTTAACAATAAATCAAGTTCCTTTCATAGTATAAATGTCAGTTATACTATATGGTTAGGCTATGAAAGTGCTAAGTATTTGTTGTACCAAGTGTTATACAACACAAATCCAAATTAACCGTTTAATAAGCAAAGTATTGAGAGTGAATAAGATAACAAATACAAAACATGTTAGTATCAAACATTAAGGTCCATGTTGAGTTTATACTATACTTATTCTTACACCATTAGTGAAACTTTTTCACATTGACATAATAAACTTAAATAAACATAATGAAAAAAGAGAAACATAAATAAATAAAAAGAAAACATAATTATATAAGTATAGTAAAGAAAATGAAAGGCATAAACAAGAGATTAAAAGATCAAGAACACAATCTTGATCTGAAAACCAAGATACCTAAATGCATGGCAAATGCCTTCTTTTATAAGCAAAAATTTAGAGCTATTAATTTGTTGATTAATTGTTAACTGGGTCGCCGCATCTTCACTTGATGACAATCCTTATCTTCTTATTTGATCAAAACGTCATTACTAACATCAGAATTTAAACAAACTTTCTTCATACAAGTTTTAGAAAATTATCTCAGCTTTCCAACAAAAATAAAATGAGGTCATTTGCATTTCTAAAACTCAAGATATCGGTTGAACACTGAAATCAGATTTCTTCGTTGTTACTATAATTTGAACCTGAAAACGGTCTTTTTAAATTTTGAATTCCTATGAAAGTTTTAAGTCTATGTCTTAACTTTCCATTCATATAAAGCATACCTAAAGCCAAGTTCTACAGCTCCAATTATGATTCAATAACCGAATAGTGTTCTAGTTTGGACTGAACCAGCATCTCTTTTCTAAGCTTGACCCTTTCCTTGTCTTTTAAATTTCAGAAGTTAAACTTATCAATCAATCCTTTTTTTTATATGATAGACATATATTTAAGATGAATATTTACCATAAATTAAGGTATCTTATAATATTAGACATGATATTATAAAACATGCTCTAGTTAAGAAGTTATTGATAATTTAAGTGCAAAATAATGATATAAAACCTTGATAAAAATATACTTTTAAGTACTAAATACCCCCTACCAACTTATTACTAGTCCCTAGTCATCAAAACATTAAAATAGAAAAACAATTTACAACTTCCATAAAGTAAGACATTCATCATTCAACTTCCACTAATTTATTCAAGTAAACAAACTCTCATTAAATTTATATATCTGCTTTATACTTTTTAAACAAAATATTAATAAACTTTCTTTTTATCTCCTCCATGTATGAAAACATAGATGATGGAGCTTTTATTGGAAGAAAACAATCTTATAATCTAATATTTTTCTAAGGTTAACTTTCTTGGATTAAGATTATTATCTTTTTCTTTTCTTTTCTTTCTTTTCTTTTATATATATATATATATAGATAACACAATGCATCTTTAAGCCATATAATGAGTTTTTGGCTAATGACTCCCAAACTAGTTGGTCTTAGGGCATTAGGTGTTGAGACACTCCTACAAGTTTAATAACTCGGGTTGCAAATGCAATACATAGATAGTGCAATGTTTAAATTCCTTAAGCTTATCTCCTTAACCCATATAACAAGTTTTGAGCCAATAGCTTCTAAGTTAGTTGACTTTAGGGTATTAGGTATTAAAATACTTCTTCGGGCTTAATTACTATAAAATTTCACAAACGAAGGCTCAAATCCAATTTAAGCTTTTTACGGCTTTTCTTAGTTAACTTATTTATTTGACTCATGGAAAGATCAATTAAAGGGATAAAAGATTGCAATTGGTTAATCAATTATTCAATAGTAGCAGTAAAGATTATAATTTGTTGTGCTGAAGATGTTACAAATTCTTGTTCCACAACTTGATCAAGAAAAGACAACAAATTATCATAAAAAAACATTAGTATTTAACAAACTTATAGGTTTATGGTGAATGTGCAGTTGGACATAAGAGAAATTATGAAAGATCTCTTTTAATGTGCCTAGACCACTTGGTAAGGTAATGAAGGCGTCAATGCGGTTAAACATTACATTCATTCGATCAGATATTTTGGAGACTTATAGTTCCTTTCCAATTATTTTTCCAATGAAGTCCTCTTTTACTAAAGCTTTGGAGACGACCCCAAAACTTGACTACCTCCTAAAAATACAGCTATTGACACACCCCTCATTAACCTAAGGTTGCCTCCCTCATACATAAATAAATCTTTCTCTCAGCTAGTACCTAACCAAGATAATTTGCTGATTCTAAAAACTTAATTTTTTTCGTAGGACTGGTTTCATTGAAAACATAAATGTTTCTTATATGATGACTTAAGAAACATATCATTTCTATACACTTCTATATCGGTTGAATGTATGGGTTGAGTAGAAATAAAGGGAAGGAAAAAAAGATTTTATAAATGAGAAATTAAAAATATAATCATACCACTTATATGTAGGCCAACTAGTGTCTCACTCTTTCTCTTTATTTATTTATTTTAAAGCATGTGTATGTACAAGTAGTTGTAATTATGGGTCACATCTTCCCTTAGTTTTACATCCAATAATGGTTTAAACGTCCTTTATGGGTCGGGGATAGACTTCCCATCCAGTTTTCTTAAAAATTAGTAAAAAAGGTTTTTTATAGTCAGATTCTCATGACTAAGTCGATCATGTTATTTATATAATTATGGTCATTAATCATGAAATGCATATTGTATATCTCTACTAGGATGCATTTCAAAAGTTAATAAAAGATTATATAAAGATTCCTTATTTAGTCAATCCTTAATAAATTGTATTTTATCTTTATAATTTATAAATATAATTTCTAAAGAATGACATGTGGCTTTACAAGCTATCTAACATATCTATGACAGACTTTCAGTCATTTTACGTGATGTTTCTTTGTAAAAATATTTTTACCTAGTCCACGTATGTATGAAATGAATGAATTGGATGACTTACTTGATAATCAGACCTTTACTTCAATTAGCCAGCAAATCTCTTCAAAAATTCCATGGTTTATTACCAACCTTAATCTTATACACTTAACTTGATAAATTTTTGTATTTGCATTTAGAGGCAAAGAAAGAAAATACTTTTTTAATTTTTCAAAATTGGTACCTATTTTTAAATGAGAATTAAAAAAGAGATTTAAAGAAGGGAGAAAGAGTGACACGATGAAAAT